CTATGATATCAAACAGGAAATTAAGTCTTCCAACTAAGGCGAAATCCAAGAATTATTCCTGTTGACCAGTGAACTCTAATGCGAGTTCCTATTTAGAAAAAATGAGTTGGAAATTCCAGCCTCATTAAAATAAACACAGAGAACCCTGCCTTAAAAGCTGCTTGTTACTTTCTCAGAATCAAAAGACTTAGAAAAGTCACTTATTCCAACCCCATGCCTCAAAGCAAGATTAACTAAGATGTTTTTGCTTTATCTCCAGAGATGGAGATTTCAAATCTCTCCAGGAAATTCACACTGATGCTTCAAAATCTCCACTGTTAAGAAGTCTGTCTTAATGTTGGAGAATCCTTGGTGCAGCTGCAGTTGTCTACACCTTGTTGTATCTACTATGATATGGGGAAGAGATTGTTCCTTTTCCTTTTTACAATAGCCTTTTACATAGAGAAGACGACTTACGTCAATCATTAAGTTAGGAAAGGCAATAAGCACAAACTGAAACAGAAACACAAGCAGCTTTGACTGAACATGAGGAAAAACTTCTTTTCTGTGAGGGAGACTGGAATGAGTTGCTCAGAGAAGCTGGAGTCTCCTCTCCTGGAGATATTCAACACCTACCTAGGACTGTGTCCAGGCAATGTGCTGAAGAGAATTTTGCTAGAGCAGCGAGGCTGTATGAGATGATCTCCAGACATCCCTTTCTACCTCAACCATTCTGTGATTGCCTTATTCTGTGAAAACAAGTAAGGCCAATTGAACAAGTAATTCTTATGTTCACAGCATTTTTGCAAGTAATTTAGGAAAAAGATACAGCATGGCTATATAAATTGTCTACTTTTGCAAACAATCAAGTGTTACTGCAATACTATATTTTAACTCCATACTGTAATTTGCAAAAATGCTGGCATATTATTTATGTCTGTCCTTGCTCTCTTCAGCATTTTAAACACTCGAGTCAGTCCGTCATTTTAAATATAGCTACATTTCTGCAGAGGTATTATTACCATCTCAACAAAGGAAGCACTAACAGCATAAATTCTGCTTAAGTTCCAAAAATGGATGCCAGAACAATAATAAATTGGTTGAAATAAATTTCCTTAGTCCCTCACAAGGCACCTTTCATAAATATTTTATAAATGGCAAAATCTGCTGTCATAACAAGGTCTTAGCCTATTCCAGCACATTTTTACATATTCTCTAAATACTGGTGCATGAGAATCCCCACGGAATTGGTCTCTGTATGAAATTGTTGGGAATTACAGTGCATCAGATTTGAATTTCCAGGAGAAATTTCGCATTCATCACAGTAAACTTTGTATTCCCCTAGTTTAGATAAGTGATCTAAAAGGGTTCTATGCATCTGTTTTCTTTATTCTGCTGTCATGCTACGGTTCTGCTGAAGAGTACTCTTTCCTGCCTCATTCTTCTTGTAGTAATGCCACAAATATTCAGTTGGAACTGAAATGTGTTTCTCAACTTTTACTGAATCATTAGGTCACTGGAGTTCTGTTATATATTACGAGAATAAGATATTATTAACACACTGCACTAACCAGAGTCCTTTGACCCCCCGCCATGACACCTTTGCTACTTCATCCATTTTCTCAGTATTTACTTAGAAGATGCAGGAAGACTATCACCAGAAAAATTGATGTAGGTATGACTTTTCTAAAATAAGTTATTTCCTTGAATTAGTCTATAACTTTTCATTTCAACGTCAGTCTTACGCTTCTTGTGACTGCAGCTCTTTGTGAACCATTTTAATGAATTTCTGAATCATTAATCAGCTCCTCCTACCTTGCTGGAACACTGCAGTCAAAAAAGGTGCTATGTTCCTAAAGCCTAACTCCACACGTTCCTTGCATCAGCTGCCAGCCCCGTGTGCAGCCAGGACATCATGCAGTATGTCGTTGCTTTGTTGGCAACAGCCACAAGCTGTTACTGAAGACTTCCAGTGCTCCCAGCTATTCTTCCTTCATGAAGCAGAAGCATTAAGAAGAAGGTCAGCCTTTTTATCCAGGTAACAGTGAAAAGAGAAAAGGTAATGGCTTTAAGTTGCAGCAGAGGAGGTTCAGGTTGGATATTAGGAAAACTTTCCTCTCAGAAGGAGTGCTGATGCACTGGCACAAGCTGCCCAGGGAGGTGGTGGAGTCATTGTCCCTGGCGGTGTTCAAGAAACAGATATGGCTCTGATGGATACGATCAGTGGGCCTAGTGGTGATGGGTTGACAGTTGGACTACATGGTCTTATGGGTCTTTTCCAACCTTAATGATTCTGTGATTCTAAGGTGAATTACAGTTATGTCTCAGGTCTACAATGGCAAGTTGTTTAGCTAATATATCTGCAATGGAAAAGCAAGGCCCAGTCAGACCTAAGTAAGCAGCTAAGGTGAAGTGATAACACAGTACAAGTTTTATGCTTATAGAAATAACAGGACAGTAGGACAGCATAAACATTTATAACAATGCCAGGAGAAAATCCAGTCTGCTTCCTAAATGAGAGCATTGACTTTTCTCTCTGCAATAATCTAGATGAACAAAGGCTACTGGGAAACAGGAATAATGTTCCCAAATACCCATTTATCCTGCATGTCACCCAATTCTGGTGTGACTCATGTCCCTAGTTAGGCACAGACTACAGATTACATAATTAAGGCCCTACAGATGTAATTATTTTGTGATCTGTCTCTGCCCTGAGGGAAGGCTAGCATCAGTTGTCAGATGATTCTGGTGAGCCAGTTTGTTACCAGCATAACTTCAGATTCCAAACAGTCTTTGGAGCACAAGCCCAGACAAGGATCTGATCTGACGTTTGGATCTAAATGATTGGAGACGTTGGGAAGAAAATGTAGGGAAATGTAAGGAAGAACACAGTTCTAGAAAGTTGAAAGCAGTCACATAGCTAACACACTTCCAGGTAATGGCCCATCAGTTACGGTATTTGTCATAAGCCAAAATAAATCCTGATTCAGCAAAGCAATCCACCACTGGACTCCACTAATATCTAAAATGTCATTCTGTGGGGACTTATAGGTGTGTTGTGGTTTAGACATCAGTAGCATTTGACAATCTCAGCTACCCCTCCACAAATCTACTAACCTGTCAAAGCTCTGTATTTACAGTGGCATTTAAACATCCATGTTAAAATATGCAGAGCATTACTGCAAATGCACTGCAACTGCAGACACTGATATGTCTATATTTTGACATTTACACGCTATTGCTTTATGTGGCCACAGTAGTACAGATGTCCAGAACACAAACACTTGTCAAAATTCACTTTCTAACTTCATGATATGTTTTTCTTTTTCCACTTGCCTGCCTCACTGGGGGATTAGCAGTGCTGATGACTTAGAGACAATAGATCTCTGTCCAAGGGTTCAAGGTAACATTGTCACGGAGCAAATGTAAGACAGATTAGCTTGAGACTGTAGGAAGACGGTCCTAATAATTAGGAAGAACTATAAATACATAGTAGGGATCTAGCTAGAAATGTCAGCTGATTAGATACGGGATGCAAGCAGGAACCTAAGACTGAGCTGGAAAGGACCTGGCCAGATTCCAGGCTGAGAAGGAGGCAGATACAGGACAGGGGAGTCCCAAGAGAGTCCCAGACCAAGTCTGTATTTTCACAGGAACACACACTGTTATCACTTGCTGATTAGATGGGCTGCCTAAATAGAACCTAAAGAGGAGGAGCTTGTGCAGGCACCACACTCAGTCCAGCACTCCAGACTCAGCTGTGGAATTCCTTTTTTTTTCCCTTTTAAACTTTGCCTTAATATCAGAGCCAGACAATCACAATTTGACCTACTTTGTGAAAGTCTCCTGCCATATTGTAAAAACCTTGCTTATATCCAATTTCAATTTCCCTTCTTTCAATTTGAAACCATTTTCCCCTGCCCTATCAAAATAGACCTTCTAAAGAGTCTGTTCCCTTCCTTCTTACAGCTCACCCTTTAAATACTGAAAGGCTGCTCTCAGGTCCCCCTGGAGCCATCTATTCTCCAGGCTGAACAGCCCCAGCTCTCTCAGCCTGTCCACACAGAGAAGATGTTCTGTCTCATGGATCACATTTGTGGACATCCTCTGGATATGCTCTAGCAGATTCATGTCTCTCCTGTACTGAGGATTCCACATCTGGATGCAGTAATCCAGGTGAGGTCCCACCAGTGCAGAGCAGATGGGCAGGATCACCTCCCTCACCCTGCTGACCGTGCTTCTTTTGATGCAGCCAAGGATACAGTTAGCTTTCTGGGCTGTGAGGGCACATTGCTGGCTCACGTCCAGCTTACCAAGTCCTTTCAGCAGGGCTGTGATAAATCCTTTCATCCTCCAGCTTGTACTGACAGTGGGAGTTGCCATAATCCAGATGCAAGAACCTGCACTTGGATTTGTTGAACCTTATCAAGCCTACTGCTCAGCCTATCTAGGTCTCTCTGAATGGCATCCAATCTCCCAGGCACGTCGCCTGCACCACACAGCTTGGTGTCATCTGCAAACTTGCTGAAGGTGCGCTCGATTCCACTATTAATGTAATTAATGAAGATGTTAAAGAGCACCAGTCCCAGTACTGACGTCTGGGGGACACTACTTGCCACTGATCCCCATCCCAATATTGAACCACTGACCATCACTCTCTGGGTATGATCTCACAACCAGTTCCTTGTCCATTGAGCATTCCAACCATCAAACCCACATCTTTCCAATTTGGAGAGAAGAATGTTATAGGAGACTATGTCAAAAGCCTTAGTATCCCAGCATTAGGGTGCTTTCAGCTAAGTCACAGATTTAGGATCTTGAGGCTTTGTTTGTAAGTGCACTGGATGAGTACCAACCAAGAGCACCCTGTGACTGCACTAAATGCAGGTACCTTCAGGCTTACTCTGTCATAAGGTGGATTTTTTCAATATCCTAGAACTACACGCACCATGCCAATAATGCTTTGCTGTGCCCTATGGAAGCTTTACGTGGAGTGTCTAGAAGCAAAGTGGGGTAGTTACCATGCCTGGTGGAGTTAGAGACAAGCAGATAATCTGGAGAGAGCAGCAGGTCCAGGTCAGATCCTGGCAGCTCTGAGATGTGGCAGCAGACTGCAGATATTGCAAGAGGCAGCATAATGGTATCTGATCCATGGGAATGTGGAGTCTGTGTGAGAAGAAGAGTAGACAAAATATTTAAAGTTAAAAGACTTAACTGCAAATGAAAGTAAGAAGAGATAAAACAGATCTTAAGGTGTCTGTAGTGCTTGATTGCTATTTTTCTGCTTTAGCCTGACCAATGCCAGGAGAGAATATTTCCCAAACATCTGCTGTAAGTAATGTAGCTAACCACAGCTAATTGTACACATCTAGACATAGTCAAAGTGCTTCCTTGTTTACAACAGGCACTAAATAATACTTAAACTTATTACAAGGAATTGTCCCTTGGAAATTTTTTAGATCAAATTTCCCCCATGTTTAGATGGCTGGCCTCACTCGTTCACTTCTATAGCATAATTTTTAATTTTTACCAATGTAAGTTACAGTAGAATCCTAACAGGACGATGTCTACTTGCCAAAGGACTCAGACCAGATCTCCAAGACAGCTGGTAGCACCTAATAGCTGTGTTATGTAACGGCTGCAGAAAATTCAGTTCCATCTGTGCATGAGAAGAATAAAAATACAGAACTGAAGACATCTCAGGTTTTGAGATGTGCAGGAAAAAGCCAAAACCAAAGGCTGTAATGTGTTGCGTCATGGTAAATGAGCACAGGAACAGAACTTCCTTTTGCCTAATATAGAAGGAGAAAGGAAGAAGAAAGACAATACATACAAGTCTGATGTCTAATGGGATGTTGGCCCAAAATAATTATAAGACCTAAACATCAAAAGAAATATATATTTGGGTGTGGCTTTTACTGAGCTAATTTCAATCCATTTTCCCATATTTTTAATTTCCAATAAATAAAACTGCAAGTGAAGAGATTTTACTGACTTTCAGAAAGCTAGACTGTTCAAACAGCTGCAGCCACAGCACTTAAAGCAGCAGATAAAACTTTCACATGTTAAATGACATGACAATGGCTCTATATAGGCCACAACTGCAAAAACTTGGGTTCCTCCTTCACTGTTAAATGATGGTGTCAAAAATAATAGCAAAACTGCATGTATAGTCACGCATCTTTCTCCTTCACCTTCCTATTCCCAAATCTCAGGCTGCTTTCTTGGGATGTATTTAACTTTCTGCCATGAACGCTGGCATCCCCAGTGCTGAGGACAGAAATACAGCAGAATATCTGAGGTCTTTTTGTTGATATACTATAGAGGTCATCAATTCAATTGCTCTTTAAAGGCCATCATATGCCAGCCCTGTGCTTTTTCCCTAAGGTGCAGCTGATCAGTGTCCAGCTCCTCTGCCTGTCCTCCATTGGGGCAAGAGATTAATGGCTATGCATCACCGCACAGCAAAGCCCAGTCTGTTCTCTTAGCCCTCTCCAGTAAGCCCTACATGCAGCTCACTCCCTGTGTGTTCAGAAAGGACACCATCAGGAACCAGTGTGTCACCAACAGGACAATTGCTATGAGCTACTCCCAGATATGTTCTTCCTCTATAGTAATTTGAGAGCACTCAGGGACTGAATCAAGTAATTGTTCTGGAAACAGAAAAAGCTTGGCAAAGAGTTTCTCAGCCTCTCCTACCTGTTATGTATGCATCTTCTTGCTTGGAAATCACCAGCATGTGCAGTTCAGGATGACAGGCAAGATGGTTCTCAGTTTTATTTGTTGAGATATACCTGGAGCAAACAGGAAGAAGAATGTCGAAATGCTTTGCCTGACCTTGAGGGCATCTGCTTCTCACCTGGCGGTGGTGTATCCTTGCCAAGGATCTTGTTCTGAACAGAAATTTTCCACTGATCCTGCAAGACAGTTTTGGAAGGAAGAGGAATTTTCTTAGCCTTCCCTCAAGGATCTTCATTTTCTCTTGTCTATCATAAAATGTACTTATATGAAGTACAGAAGCCCAAGTTTCCATCCTAGTCAGAAGTAAGGGTCAGAAGTCCTGCCTTTCATCTTTACCAAAGGAAAAATTTTAAGTTTCAGGCACCTTTGCAGAGCATTTCTGAAGGTTTGCTTCTGGAGACAGCTTAGTGTGCTTCTTTGCTCTTTTCCCCAACGGACTCCCTCTGTGCCTGGCGAATTCACCATGGCATATGCCACCAATACATCTCACAACAACTTCACATAGAGAGCTGATTCCCAGAACTGCTGTCCCGAGGGAGTTTGCCAGAGAAGAAACAATAGGCCATTTCCAGTGTTATTACTCTCTTGTTTCCTGCCTTCTCTGTAAAGCAGTCTTAAGAAGTTTGTACTTTGTAGAAGCAACCAGGCTAGCACCAAGGAGATGAAAGAAGAGACAGGATATGTCTGCAGAGCCATTGATGTCATCAGCTGAGGTATGGGCAGAGCAATCAAGCACTCTGGAAACAGACATCAGGAGAAAATGTGATGAGTAAACAGAAAAGAAGAGGAGCTGAACGATTATGCCATGTTTCTCAGGCAGTAGGTAATACAATTGCTTTACAAATAGCTAGACCACTGTCACAGTAAGCACTCCTATCCCGATAAAAAGCTTCAGATGTCTTGCCAGCAAGACAGAAAATGTTCACCCAATATGCAGTAGTATTAGCCATTTTTACCCTCCTTCCATCATTATTTCTTGTCAGAACACAGGAATCTCCACTCAAGCTCCTCCACTGCTCAATACAGCAGCATCTCTTCCTCTCCCTTACAACAATGCATGAAGGTTCTTTCCCCTCTGCCCCTTAAAAACCAAACATCTGGTCAGTCTAACCAGAGCTAGCTAAGTCCCTCCATATTCCCACTTCACTACTTCTCAATTCCCCTTTGGAGCAGTTCCACTTTGCTGTGGTACAAGCACTCCCACCTCCAAATATTTCACTCATTGTGGCTGAAAAAGAGAGGAGTAAGATGTTGTGAACAGAATCAACCTGCTGAAGGTCTCAGATGCTGCCTCTTAGTCAGAGCTTGGTATGACATACTAGCCACAGTTTCCATGAGTGTTTACATGGAAGTGGTTTGCTTTCTTTTGGCTGCCTGCTTGAGATTTGCTTTCTCTGTTTGTTTACTTCCTTTCCTCAGTTCTCATCCCAAGCAAAAGTTTATTTGCAGTGGTATGCAGATCTCTCTTTGACCACTATAAAACCACACACAGGCTGCATTTTCTTTCTTCCTTTGTCTGAGCTGTCTTAAAGCTAGGTGCAAAGACAAACATCAGTGCACTGCTCAAGTGCCTTTTCAACATGACAGAAAGCTTTTTCTTTCTTTCTCTTTTTTTTCTTTCTATCTCTTTCTTTTTTTCACTGACTTAGCATAAGGCTATTCAAAATCAGCAAACAGCTCTTTTATTCCCTCCTACCACACGCTAAGCAAGATGTTATCTCTCATCTTCTTCCAGGACATGCCACTGCCCTACCTATAGAGCTGTAGGAGCGTATGGCACAGCAAGCCCTGCATAAGGCTGCTCTCTATCAAGGCACAGGGCACCGTGGCATCCACACACCTCTCAGAGCTACAAGCTAAACCTCATATTACAGGCACAGTTTCTGCTGAGTCCCTCTGACTTTCCTTGCACTTCAAGCTCGAGTTGGCTTCCTTTGTGGAATTAGGGTAGGAGCAGCTACTTGCTTCAAAGCCCTACTTTACCCTTCCTGGATTCCAGTGAGGCAGTGGACCTGTGTCTGCATAAGTAAAATGTGAATGAATAAATCTACTTAAACATCACTGAAAAAAAAGAATCACATTTCGTAATGAGAAAGGTAACCACTAGTGTCATGACGTTATTTTCCTTTTCCACTCAGTAAAGTCACTAAAACTAGAAAAAAAAAACCACTAAATTCCCTTCTAGTTAAATGAGAGAAACTCTGCTGAATTCAATACTTCTGCACTAATGCATGAGAAAACATGCCCATGTTGTTTAAACTTTTAGGCTGGCACCTCTGCAAATTGTCAGAACTTGAATGCAAAGTCCAACCACTGCTGAGAAGGTTTGAGCTTTAAGCACCACATGGAGCAAACAGATCAAATCCAATCACCCCTGCAAAAACAGCAGTGAACAGTACTGGGGGCTTGACGTTCACATTTTAGAAATGTTTTCATAACTTACAGATTCCTGTAAGAATACATTTTTGGTTGCATATTGACGTCATGACTTTTTTCTTTTAAATTAATGCAGCAATTCATCTGTGCTATTTTTTTTTTTTTTTCTTCATTCAAACTCCTGCAGAATCCGAACAGTCCCTGACGAAGAAAAAAACAAAAAAGGAAAAAATAAATACAAGCCTTGTTACAAAGTTAGTACTATCTGAAATTCTGCATCTAGTTACTGTTAATAGGGAAGCTATTAGCACATTTGGTCAAAGGTCAGGAAACAGCAGGAGCTAGTTTGTAAGTTTGCTGTAGTGAATTAATAGATACAAATGGAAATGTGATTGGAAAATATTTTTTCTATGTCAAACAAAATTCACCTTACCAGCAAATCTCAGAAGAAGCAGAAGTATTCTATGCCCTGGAACAAACAGCCCAGCAAGTCTGATCTTGTACACACTGAATTCAGTGGGAGTTATTCCAGTAGGTTCTCCGGAAATCTTAACCACTCAAACGAAACATAAGCAAAAATAAAACCTATTTAGAATCAATGTTTTAACAGAAAACTTGACATCTTATTGATTTACACAAGATACTCAAAGGCCTGTGGAAGAGAAATCTCCCTTATCCTGCCAAAAGGCAAAAAATTCCCTGCTTTGCATGGATGAGGATTCTACCAGTGCTGGTACCTTGGAGTGCAACCATAGGGTAGGGAAGTACATTTGCACAGCAAACAAAGCAGTAAAATGCCTGGGTTTTGTTCTGAACCACGAACCAGTCATAACTTACATAAACTCCCAATTCCATGCGATTACACCCTAGTTTCTTCCAACTCCCAGAATATAAATGGTAGTCACAAAGCCTTCGCTACTACATACCTGAGAATCACAGCCCAGAAACTTCACCTTCAGACCTCCCTGAAGTTATTGTGCAGCCAGGATCCTTAAAGAGCCTGCAAGTATTAGCACAGGTAACCTGCAGTTGGCAAGCAATTTGATTTTTAATTTGCATACTTTTTTTCAAAATTCTGTCTCAGCAAGCTGATCTGGACATACCATTCAAATTTTAAAGAGTTACAAGCATTTTTCTTTCCAGATGCCCTTAGAACTTAGCTGGCAATAATGTCAATAGCGTTATGTAAGGATAGTACACCTGCCTATTTGCCAACAGAAAATTAATTGAGCATGAAACACTGTTTAGACACCAAACGGTGAAATTTCTCCTCAGTCTCTGTTCCTCTACTCACTTTCCAAAGAGATCATGCCTGTGGTCTTGGCAGATGCTTTCCATTCTATTCCTGAACAGAGATCTCTATGGATCTGCTGTGGGCATAAACATGCATTTGTAAGAGAGGCAGCTATAGATTCTGTGGCAGAGAAGCAAGAAGATACTAAGAAAAGCTAATAGGAAAGTTGTGGAACAATTTCTGCACATTCCATTGCCTTTTCAGTTATTGCCATCAGAAAACATTTGATCAGTGGTTCATTTATATTAATCTATCACACACACACACAATAAGAAACAAGATTGAAACCAGTAATGAATAGAAGTCTGCAGACCTCTGTAGATTCAGAGTTGTCCCAAGGGGTAGGCTAGTTATATAAAAGGATGAAATTCAAATTATTCTACTCCATGCAAATAAAATCCAGCAAAATACCAGAAATAGGCTCCTTAAAGTCAAAGGAAAACATCATGAGACAGGAAAATAGGCTTTCAGAATGACCATGCTTACATTCCTCGTGAAGAAATGGATTCTGTGGGATGAAGAAATTCTGTGGAGTGACCTTTGGCCTCTTCAATCCTGGAAAGAGATACACAGCAGACTCCTCCAACACCGACATCCCCACCTCTCCACAGCACCAAAGTTTTAAGGCCCCTGCTCTCCTGCAGATAAGAGCTCCTCAGCTTCCCAGAAACAGCAAGGCAGAATGCACAGTACTGCCTGCATAGCTGGAACAGTCTCTCCTGTGGTCCACAACTGTGACCCACACAGGTTTACAGCAAGAACTACTTAGCCCTTGCTATAGTTAACCAGCTCACAAACACTGATATATTTTTTGGTGCGAAAGTTGTTCAAAGCAGGCATTGAGAGCACTAAAGAATTCCCCTGCATCACTTCCTCTGCTCCACTCCATCCTCTACTTCCTCTGCTCCACTGCAAGGCAATAAAACTGCAATCCAGTAGCAATTAATGCAGACTTATTTGATTGCTCTGCCTCCTGTATAGCACTTTGTCTGTCTTTGACATTATTGCTTCTCCAAATCAATTCATTCCCACTGAACAACTCGAAGATCTGACAGTAGGATTCCAGCCAAAGCACATTCTCCAAATGGCATAAAACCAGACAATAAGAAGGGAGATTTTATAACGAAGAAAGAGTTATGGTGCAAGTTCACTTAAATTTGACATCAGGGAGTCCAGACATAATCTACAACCACAGGAGACTGGCATCCGATTAACTCTTCTGCTTGCACAATGCTGGCAGCTGTGCCTTCGGAAGTGCTCAGTCCTTTGGTTATTTGTCTGGGGAAAGTGGGTATGATATCATTACAGGAAGTCCAAATAAGCTGATAACCCCACTGTGTTTTCACACCTGGGGAAACTTGCTGTCTTTTAAGAATGTCAGGCCACCATCAGATTTGCCTGAAACCGGCCAAAGGGTGAGTGGGAAGTTGCTGGGAAATTGTTGATGCTGTGTAACAGATGACTGTATTAGTCACTGACATTATTCTGTTTAGACAGAGATTACCAAAATATAACATCAGTAATTTGTTAAAAAGTAAAGTTAGTGCTGGAATTGTTTAATGAGGAACCAGCTTCTATAAACACAGATTTCTCAGGATCTCTATATAATTTGTATATAATTTGTCAGGGCAGTGAAAGCTTCTTGAACAGATGGCTGTTCAAAACGCAATGATTTAAGCATTACAGCATTAGGGAAAAGTCACACACTGTACAAGAAAGCTTGAATTATTCTCTACAGAAAACTTATTTCCATTTGTCAAGCTCCCATCATCCTCTGCCTTTTCTGTCCTGGCATTCAGTAACTAATCAAACTTACATTCAGCTCTCTGTACTTCAAAGGAAGTCAATGTGAAGGAGAACAGGCACTATAATGATTCAGCAAAACCAGAAGCAGTATGATTATCCACCACTACCCTATGGTTTTTCCAGCATCTGTAGTAAAATTCATACTGTAATTTAGTACAAATCTCTGGTGGCAACACTGCCTCAAGTAGCCCTGCTGAGGCTGCCAGTCACAGACTCCTTCCCCTGGCACACTGCCCCAGGCCACCATGGCAGACCACACCAAGGCATAGCACCGCAGCAAAGTCAAAGCATTATAGACTGACTGCAGCCTCCATTCCGCCGCACCACTCAGAGAGAGAAGATAGGACAGGGTTGGATGGGGTGACAGCATTTGCAGTTTTCTTTTAGCTCTCGCTGCTCTAGTTTGTAAGCAATACTCAAATTATGTTCATCTCTCTACATTAAGTCTGTTTTGCCCATGACAGTAATTGGTGAGTGACATCCCTGTCCTTACCTCAACTCATGAGCCTTTTTCATCATATTTTCAATGCCAGTTCTTTTTAGGAATGGGAATGAGAAAGCAGTATGGTGGAACTGAGCTGTCGGAGTGACACCACTCAGCTGTGGGCCTTTGTGTAGCCAGGTTGGGCATGTCACAGGCGAATCAGACAGCAGTATCCCAGCAGCTTCAAAACATCTGCTGGTCTGCAGCCGTGCCAAGGTTTATGGCGCAGGTGCCGCCCATGCAATCAACGTTGCCCTCAGGTCCCTGAGTTACCTATTCTTTTCTCAAGTCCTCTGTTCTTCTTTAAACACAGCTGTGTGCTCTGTTTTTTACATTTCTCTTCCCTCCTTCATTTTCAATTATTTACACCTAGATCTTGACCTCAAATGTCTCCCTGGATTGTGACTTTGAGTTACTCCCATAAGTCCCCCCCAGCTCTTGGTTTCACAATCAATATCACAGCACATTGGTGCTCACTCAGAACCCCTCCCCGTGCCAAACCAAGCCTTAACTTCCTGCTGGATCTGGTCCCACACCACAAGCCCTGCTCAAGAACCAGGCAGAGCTGGCAGACCTGTTCGTGCCTTGGTGAGATGCCTCTGGGTAGCAGGGCCTCAGCAAGAGATGCTGTGTCAAGCAGATGGTGCCTGACGCAGGGTGCAGGACACCATGTGAAGCCAGAGATGGCTGCTCCAAGAGGAAGTGTCTTGCTGCTGGTCCTGAAGAGACTCCAAGGACTTCACAGGATAATCCTGGGCTTTCCTGCTCTTTTCCTGAGGATGAAGGATTTGTGCGAGGTGACTGTGAGGTGTGGAGGAAAAGGAAAATCCCCAAGTGAAAGACAGGGCTTTTGGAAGTCAGAATAATCTCGTTTTGCCGGTAATTCCAAAAATAACTGAATGACACTAAGATGTTTTTGCGACTACTTAAAATCCTGTTCTTTACACCTCTGTATGTTTCTTATTGTTTTCTGGCCTCACAGCTAGAGATGGCCCACACCAACAGCATACTGCTGCCCTCTCCCTGCGCTACTCGGCCTCTATGCCTGCACAGCCTCTACAGTAGTGCCACAATGCCCCAAGAAAACTCCCTGTCTGGACAGCAGGCTTCATTGACCCTCTGAAGATACCTTTCTCTGTTCAGGTAACCTGGATCCCTATCTGTGGCTTGTACAAATCCTAACATTTATGAGGGCTGTATGATGCCAGCCTGTGAAAAAGATCCTCGTGGAATCTTCTTTCTCCATTGCACCTCATTCCCCTGCTTGATCCATCTTGCTCACACAAGAGGTCCAGGATCACTAAAGCTTTACCAAACTCATACATGTTCCAGAAAAGCAGCATTCATTTTTTCCCCACACATACTCCATGCAGGACCAGCACTGCTCAAGACCATTCATTAAGTACTAACCACTACAAAAGGTGTCCAAGCAGATAACCACGGCTCTTTGAGTGAATCGATAAAACTTAGAGCTGATTGGGAGAAGATAACAGATTTTATTTTCTCACTTCAGGAATAAAGCCAAAGCTTGGTGACTACTGGTGGATGATCTACAGCTACAGAGAACAGTCTGGAAGCCACCTTCTCAGACCATGAGGATGAATCATTCCGTGGCTATCATGAATCAGGGCCCTGTGACAAGTGCCCTGAGCTCTTGCAAACATACATCAAAAGGGAGCAGCATGAGGTGAGAAAATATTGAAGGCTATGTGAGATGCATCACCATAACAAGATCCCTGAAGCAGTCATCCTCACCTCTCCAATACCTTTACTTATCTCTGCTTCATGGACCCAACCACTCCAGCCCATGTTCTGCACAACAGGTTCCATGATCTTGGGTACCATCAGCAGGCTGCAGGACTTATTTTGTGTCTGAGTATCAGCAAGACTCCATCTGGAATTTAATCCAGCATAGTATCTCTGCAATACCTGAATACCGCATGAAGCCTAACACCAAATAAAGTCAGTGGTAAGCCACACATTTTTTTTCTACAGACAGAGGCTGTCAGAAGCTTAGCAGTGACAAAGATCTACACTGTGGCTTTGTGGCAGCATTCACCAATAGTTTTTGGGAGGAGGGTAAAGATGAACACTACTTTCACAATGACAAAATGAGAATTACTGGTTCTAACACTGCTTACAAAAGCTTTTTCCTGAGACAGTAATTGATCTGAGAAACAGAAGCTGAACCACTAAGAGAACTGACCCAAAATCCCCATAAAGGAACAGACTATACACCAGACAACCTATGACAAAACACATCCATAATTCAAGCCAGCACAAAACTACCATTATCATATGATCTTAATAAACAGGCCAAGGGAAAATAGATCTGCCTATAACCACATCTTACACCATCCCAAAAATTTTTCATCTGGCATATCCATTGTGCACATTTGTTATAGCTGTTCATCAGAGCATGGCCTCATTGTTCTCTGGACTTCTATTTTCTGTGCAGATCCACATCTTTTAGCTCTCCTTTTTCAGCTTAGGCAAGATAAACAACCATTCAGTGAGTGTCCATGTTCTACTTCTCTTCCTGGGGAGTTACTTGCAGATCAGATCTTACTAATTCAATCATTAACAGGCAAGAATTCCTAAAGATGTTGCCTGGGTTTGTGAGTTTGCCAGGAACACTACCACAGGCGCTAAAACATTCTTTGTTCTACGAGACACTTCTGCCCTTCACACACACCTCTCACAGCTGTGGAGCCTCATAACAGGGTTTTCCTCCTGATGTCTTCTCTTGGTCAAGCAGAAGTGCTTGTAAAGAACTTTTAGTGTTTTGATCCTGTAACACACAACAAAGCAGATGGATGACTGAAATCATGGTATTTTATTTAATTAGCAGATTGGTATATCTCAATGCTGTAGTGGGGTATTAGCACAGCACTTCACCCATCATCATTTGCCATAGTCTCTTTCATTGCATAAGGCAAAGATTTAGGTGTCTAAGTTCCTCTGTATCTTATGCTTTTGGAGACAGACTAAACTTGTTGAGAGAGTAAGACTATAAAACCACCTCACAGAGGAGAATAGGAAGAAAAAGACTGTGAGAACAGAAAGACAGCATAATTGCTCTTATTTGAAAAACAAAAGCTAACAACACGATGTGAAGGAAAGGAATTAAAGTACTGGCATTGTTAAGTCAAGAACTTCAAAGTCAAACAATTATGCTTGTTCAGCCCATGTGGGCCAGTAGCAATGGGAAGGGCCCTGTGACTTTTGCTGACCCAGTGCAGAGCTGCACACCAGTGATACCCCAGGTCCAGATACCCAGGCCACCAGTTAGTTACCCACCTGCGTGTTTAACATGGGTACACCTCTTTCCCTTTGGACAGACTAGCAGGATGAACTAGAGAAAGCGAGTTCTTGTTCTGAGAAGGAAGCATCTCAGCCCATTGCATCCCTAAATACACTGGTGAGGGAGGTCTTGCTCTTAGATGAATCTTAAGACTTACCTCAAAACAGCACTGAACTTATTCAGATGCTTATTTTTAAATGAGATTTAAGTCTATTGCCCTTAAGCAGTACTGGAAGTGAGTGGCCAATTCAGGACAATCATTAGTTTGAGATGGCTGTTCCCCCAGAATTTTTAAAATATGCTTTACCACATTCTGCGTGTATTTTGCAAATCATCTCCACAGCTTATTTTTCACAGACAAGTGGGAAACATCCCCAGTATGAGGACACACTGAGACATTTTTCAGATCCATGAGGGTTAAAATAATAAAAAATAAGTGCATATTTTCTCTTCTTCCCGCCAACCACAAACTCAAAGCTGCTTCATGTCACTCCTGTGTCTTTTTCCCTTGCCATCTGGTCTAGCTCTTAACTCCTCAGCATTCAAATCAAGTGGCTTCTTCCTTCTAGCTGAGACAAGCTGGGGACCAGGGACCGGGAGCCTTTGCCCTTATGAGTCAGAAAGGACCAAGACTACTCAATGTCAAGAGAGCTTCAGGAAATTTTGACATTCTATTTTAAGACAACAGTTCTGAGTTACTTGTGAATGGTTCAAATGTAGGACATTTTTAATTAGAAAAGTAGTATGTTTGTTATAAACTCAGAGGCCACCCGCTGCTGGTTTCTTAGGCCTCTGTCTGACACGCAGGGGCAAGAGACTGTCTGAAAGAAATTAACATCAGAATATTTTTAGCACTGCAAACAAGCTCATTTTCAATCCCTAATGTTAATTTATTTCTTTCATTTATCTATTCTGGGATTTAATCCACTGTCCTGTTTCATTTTGTTTTTACTATCCCGTTTTATCCTCCTAGCCTTAAGGAACAATAGACTTTTAAGTATTTGGAGCAGACACTGTGTGATGCCTTTCATGAGGGACTGGCTCAGGATTTTTACTTTTAAGGTTTACACTACAAGCAAAGCAGTCTATTTTGTAGCATTGCATAGTTTGGCAGGAGATCTTGTGTTCCTTGTAAAGCTGTGTGCAAAGTATATGGGATCTTGGATGTCTTTTCTGGCCAAGCTCTTGATGTTCTTAGTTAATAGTATGTAGTATGCATTTGCACTGGTATGTGCTTAGACTATGTATATATATCCCTGCTGAAGTACAATTGCTTTCGGTGTGTGGTCTGTGGAGAACAGCAGTTGAAGTTTGGCCTCAGTGCACACAACTATGACAGTAAATGGTCAACTACACAGTCCTTTTCGATATCAGAATGTACAACTCCTAAGAAGGCTCTCAAAAACAAAACAAAGATCTGAAGATATTTCCAGCTCTCAGCAGAGTCAGTTTACAGTATTTAACTACGAAGAAGATCAGACAGATTGCACTTGACACTGCTGGGAACTGACAGATGTTTTTGAAAAAAAAAAGTGAAAATCAGCTAAAAGATTCCCAGTTGTTTACTACATTGTTAATAAAATGAAGTTTCAAGAACACTCACAAAGGAGAACTGGGAATTACCCGACATTTTCAAAGTTGTTATCCACCTATGTTCCTGTTCATACTTATAATCAAATCTACCTTATGTAACAGAAGGAAGAGAGTTATAGTTTGCAACATTAGCCAGTGGCTTATTTCTTGCAATTGAGTAAAAATGACATTCATGACATTCTCTTCATTACAAATGAAGAGAAATAGCGCAAGAAACCATCTGGAAGATCCAGCCTGTACAGTGGGTAACTTAAATTCACAAGGGAATGCTGCTTCAATTTTTCCACTTAGTATGAGATCTGTTTGACTAAATCACCATAGCTTCCCTCATCAGAAATCCAACTACTAACTTTTCTAGTTTATTAGTAATTCTGTTCATAGTTCACATGCATCTACTTGCCTAAAGTCACAGAATGCACAGATCGCCAGGAACTGAACTGAAATCTCTGAAGAAGGGGGCTAAATGCAAACACAGGGTAACAGAGGAGGTTGACAGTTAGCTGCTAATGGGGCAGAAAGATGCTCCACACAATATACAGCGGATCTGTACCATCACCCACTAAACCAGCCTGGTTTTCTTCCCAGAACTGTGCAGAATTAAGCAAGAGGAGAGCCAAAATGATATCTAAACACTTCCTCTTTGAGGAATAAACAACGAATCCATGCAAATATTAATGCCTGTCTCTTTAGACTGCTATTTCTGTTGATGAGGATGACTGATAAACCTCCTGAGAATTATCTTTTAAACTTTCATGATCTTTAACCTCACACGTTTTCCTAACGTGGTCAAATCTTCCTTTATTTTACTCAAGACTTACTATCTCTATCCTACTTACAGTAGATAAAGGAAGGGGGGAGATGTGGTTTCCTCCTTTGAAGCAGCCCTTTAAGCACTGAATACCAGTATGCCTCCCTTAGTCATCCTTTTTGATTAAGTAGCTCCAAAATGTCATTTATTTCCCATCTTTTCTCATAGGTCACATATCCCAGAAGCTCTTTCATTGCTTGCCTCTTCTCTGAATTATGTTGAAACAGCCCACATACTTATTAAAGCCATGCTGCACCAACTAAACAGTACTGAAAAGTGAAAAACTTTCACACACTCTTCAAGCTATGCTTTTTGTTTGTATGAATAAGGATTTGTCACTTGAATAGCAGCAGTACTGTTGACGCATTTTTATGTTTTCACAAATTTAGTCCTTGTTCTGCCACTTAACCATTGACTCTCCAACAACACGCGACTGTTCTTTGTGCTCAATTCGATTAAAATCACATCCTTTATGCATCCTGTAGTAGGCTAGCATACATTGTTTCCCTGATTTACTAATCTGAACAGCATCAAAAGCATTGGTAAAATCAAAACCTCTGAAACACGCTCTTTCCTCCATGCTCAGAAGGCCAATTTCACAAAGTCTTAGAAGGAAAATAGGCTGTTGTGCTTAGAAATAGTTTCATAGCTTATTATGACTTGAAATTAATCTGAAAAGTCTTCAGTTTTTCTTTCCTACTGTCCTTCTCACGGTCATGGAAAAAAATATAAAAGAGGATCTGAGCAGAGGATACAAGCATGTATTCAGCTCAACTATGAACAGTTTTGCAGATGAAGTCACTGAAGTCAGTATACAAGGAAATAGCAGGAAAAAATAATTACAGAATTCAACTAGGACTCGTTTACTGCAGCAATGCAGAATCTATTGGAAGCTATCAGATTTCACAGCTAAATGTCAGATAACAAACATTCAAAAGGATAGAATGGAAAGCCACATCAAAAGCACATTAAAATTTTTAGGTCAATGCTGAAAAACGTTTCTAAATTGTGTTCTAGAAGTGAATTTAACAATCAGAGGACACCCTGTCATTTCCAGGAAAACAGAAAAGCTTATTTTATCCTGCTTATTCTTGGCAAGTAAAAGTAAAATTGTATGTTTTGAATTCAAAGAATCCAAGAATTCTGTCTGGATACTAAGTGAAGAAATAGAGCCAAGCACCTTTCTTGAACGAGAAAGTAACTTCTGTTTAGAAAATTGGTTTTAATGGACCGATTAGGTTCTCTCTCACCTACCTATAAAAGT